TTCTGAGTGTTTATGTGCTGCAGAACAGGAAGCTGCTGTAAAACAGCAATTATGCTGAGTCAGGCTTGATTTTTAATAATCTTTTCCTGTTAAATAAATAAATCAAATCAAATCAACAAAACTGTAGATGTTTTGTGTGGGGTAAAGAAATGCAAAGATCACCACTTGTAAAAAGTTTAGTTCTGCCGTCTCAGCCGTGTTTTTGTTTGTCTCACTGCTCTTTCTGTGTTTGTTCTACCAAACTGCTGTTTTCTTTGCACCCAAACGCATACATCATCTGTCTCCTAATACCAGGAAGTGGACTCTATTTCTATTTCTCAGCTTTGTGACTACATCCTCCTGTTATCACGCCAGCCGGACTCCTGGTGTTTGTGTGCAAGGACGGAGTCGTGGCACGATAATGCCGGTGACCACGACCTCCTGGCTTCACGGCCCGACTCTGCTGGGCAGGCTTGATAAGTAAGAGAGGAAATGACGAGCTGCCAGTTTCCACTGCTGGGCAAACGGGGCTCACGTATTATTTATGTCACTCAGTTTCCTCGTAAACAGGGGCAAGTTTCGCATTTTTAAAAGAACTTCTGCTGATCCCGATCCCAGATTCTGTAAAAGTGTCTCATGTTGCAGCATCTTTCATGCAACCGACACTCCATACTGCCAGAGGGCTTAAAATACAACCGTGGTGTCTATAAATGCAGCTTTTGTAATATAATTTTAGACTAAAAACGTGCAAAGCTTATCATCGGAGGCCTGTAATTTCCCAGGAAAGCACCCTAACAGTGCCCTTGTCCTTGTGTCGTGTCACTTTCCAGATAGAGTTGTTTTTATTTCATTGTTCCAGATTTAATCTTGAACTTCTATCTCGCTTTAATCATTTGAAACTGGACAAATTATTTGGTCTGGGAAATTATGATAACTTTGCTGTTTAACGCTTTGTCTTGTGTAAAAGGAGAGATAAATTTTCAGTAAAACTGCACTGAAGCTTCACTGTTTCGCTGACTTAATGAGTCAGTTTTTCAACCTGCTTGTGTTTAGTCTTCAGAAGGTTTTTGGTGTTCTCCGCTCCGTCCTTTCGGGTCAAGAACAAGTTATTTCTGGAGTGTCCTGCAGTGTCTCACACCAGGATACGGACAGTGGATCTTTCTTGTTTGTGTCCTGTGGTTTGAGCAGTCAAGTCTACATGAATCAGTCTCGTTCTGACACATAATTTGGATGGGTGGTACCTGCCAAAGCAGGGTACACGTAGAGGAAAGGACATTTGTGCCTTTGTAACAGGGTCAGTGGTTTGAAAGCTCCACTGTTTGTCTCTGCTTCTTATTTTATGTTGTTCGTGGCTTAGGGAGAAGAATTTTCTGCTAAAACATTACTTAGTTTTGATGCATGTTTCTTCAACATTTGCTTCTTTTCAGTATGTTTGCATTATTGTTTGTGCTGCAACTTCAGTCTGCCTTTTGGCTTCTTTTCATACAAAACTTTACCAATGCGGAAAAGATTTGGTTTGTTGGAAGTATGAATTGACCAAAAATTTTGTTTAGGTTACAAGTTGACCAAAAAAAAGCAAAAATGCAATTAAGCCAAAGTATAAATCGAACAAAGCTGCAAATCCAATTTGGTTGAGGTACAAATTGACCAAAACTGTAAAATAAAAATTTGTCTAGGGTACAAACTGACCAAATAATGCAAAGATAAAATTTGTTTGTGACACARAGTTTAAAACATTTTATTTAGCGGCAGAACAATAGGAGTGAAGTTATATATGGCAGGAGGTGAAAATTGACAAATTTTAGCAATTTGTGGAAGTACGAATTGACCATAACTGGAAAAAATATTTGGTGGCAGGACTAAATGACCAAAGTTAAATAATACAATAAGCTTCTGGTACAAATCCACCAAACCTGTAAAGATACAACTTTTTGACCAAAACTTTAAAGATTTGATTTGTTGGAAGTATGCATTGATCAAAACTGTAAAATAAATAC